GTAGCCTAGACTGGTCTTTAAACATGCTGTGTAGATGAGGATGACCTTGAACTCTTGATCCTCTTGGCTCTACTCCTAAGTGTTGGGAGTGCAGGCATTTGCCATGATACCCAGCTGGCATATTTCTTTCTTTCTTTTTTTTTTTTTTTTTCTGTCTCTTTTGAGACAGGGTCTCCTTGTAGCCCCAGCTGTCCTAGAACTTACAATGTATACCAGGCTGGCCTCGAACTCACAAAGATCTACCTGCCTCTGCCTCTCAAGTGCTGGGATCAAAGGCGTGCACCACCATGCCCAGCATATTTCTTTATAGTCACAAACCTGTATAAAATTTAACACGCTGGAATATAGGTGAGTTGGTAGGAGGTGAGTTTGGAGGGCTGGGAGTTCAGGTTCATCCTCAGCTACTTAGAGAATTCAAGGTCAGCCTGGGCTACATTCCAAAACCTTTTTTTTTTTTTTTTTTTAAACACGTTGAGATTTAGATTATATTCTTTATTTGAAATGTGTAGATTTTACAGTTAATGAAACTTTCTCCATCTTTGGTTCCCACCCTCCCTTGGCTATTATTTTGTTTTCTTGCTGTGTAGCTCAGGCTGGCCTCCAACTCACTACCTATGAGATTAGCCTTGAGTTTACAGAATCTGCTACAGTTTTCTCCAGAGTCTTGGGATTACAGGTGTGCACCACCACATCCAGCTTGTTTCCTCTTTAAATTACCTTTTGTAAACATTGCTTTATTCATTCGAGCACACCATGTAATGATTTTAACCTGTTTCTAATTTTCCACTGTTAATGCTTCTAGAAATAGTACATTATCCAGGAGAGAGACACCTGGATCAAAAGAATATCATACTTGGTATCAGGTGGGAGAAGGGCAGATTGTTTAATGGCCAATATTTCCCTGCGGTATTTCAGTAACTAGACCTTTAATTTTAGGAAAGAAATGAAACGTCAAGTATATTAGGTACAAGGTTAATTTCCTTTATAATACACATTAATGATAGAAGAACATAATGAATTTTAACCATTAGAAGACTGTTGTAGCCCAAAATGCCAAAGTGTAAGGTTTTTCTTTTCTTCAAGGGATCCAAATTTCTTCTTTAATCTTTTCAGTTATTCAACACTGCTCTTTGCATCATTATAATGGGGGGATAAAACCCCAGATGTATGCATTTTACCCAATTGTAGATTGTATGTTGATCTGAAATGAAAAACAAAGTTTATATATATAAAGCATTTTGGAGATAGCATATCAATCTTTAGAGTCAACTGGTTTAGGTGTAAGAGACTCATTGGCCATGGCTAAAGAAAATATTGGCTTCTAATAGGCGCTTCAAACAGGAGGGTTAAATAGACACTCTGAATTTCACCCATGTACAGACACTTGTATGTGGGAATGTGAAGTACATGTTTAGAATCTAGTACTTGGGATATTGAGACAGGAGGATCAAAGTTTGAGGCCAACTTTGGCTACATAGCAAGACTTCACTCAAAAAATAAAGCTAAGGCTGGAGAGATGGCTCGGTGGTTAAGAGTTTGGTTTCCAGCACCCACATAGCAACTAACAACTATCTGTAACTCTAGTACCAGGGGATCCAACACTCTCTTCTGACCTCTGTGGGCACTGCACACATAGTACATGTACATTCATTTAGGCAGAATAATCATACACATAAAAATAGGGGGCTGGAGAGATGGCTCAGTGGTTAGAACACTGGCTGTTCTTGCAGAAGACCGGGGTTCGGATCCCAGCACCCACATGGCAGCTAACAGCTGTCTGTAACTCCAGTTCCAGGGGATCTGACAGACTTCTGTCCTCCGTGGGCATTGCACGACAGAGGTGCACTTAACCTACATGCAGGCAATACACACATACACATAAAAAATAATAAAATAGCGTGGTGGCGCATGACCTTTAATCCCAGCACCAAAAAGAAAAAAAGACCAAAAAAAAAAAAAAAAAAACCCCTAAAGAGCCAGGCATGATGGTGCACACATTTAATCCCAGCACTTGGGAGGCAGAGACAGGTGAATCTCTGTGAGGCCAGCTTGGTCTACATATTGAGTTCCAGCCATGGCTACAAAGATACTCTGCCTTACCTGGCGTGGTGGCGCACGCCTTTAATCCCAGCACTCAGGAGGCCAGCCTGGTCTACATAGTGAGTTCCAGGACAGCTGGGGCTACAGGGAGACCCTGTCTGAAAAAAAAAAAAAAAAAAAAAAAAAGATACCCTGTCTCAAAAAACAAACAGAAAAACCTAAACTAAAAGATCTCAAGCCACTAGAGAGGACAGTTATTTTATACATGACTTCTGTCTTATGATTCAAAATAATTACTTATTTACTTTCATTTTCTCCAAAAGTGGTTTTCTCTATTATGAACTAATTTGAAAATGAAAAGGTTCATCCATAATATACCCACTGTTAGTATTTTGGGCAATTTCTTTCAGTTTTTAAAATGTATTTTAAGCATTTGTAGCCATATATATATAATTTTGTGTTATACTCTTGTGTACCCATGTTGTGAGATGCCCTCAGAGGTCAGAAGAGGGCTCAGATCCCCTGCAACTGGAGTTACAGACTGTTGTTAGCTGTCATGTGGGTGCTGAGACTCGAACCTAGGTCCTCTGCAAGAGGAGTCAGTGTGCTTAACTGCTGAGCCATCTCTCCAGCCTCATACCCTTTTTTTTTTTTTTGGTCTTTTTGAGACAGGGTCTCCATGTAGCCCCCGCTGTCCTGGAACTCACTATGTAGACCAGGCTGGCCTTGAACTCACAGAGCTCTACCTGCCTCTGCCTCCTGAGTGCTGGGATAAATGCTAGATGTACATGGGACTTGACATATAGTAGGATTCAACAAATTTTTACCAAAGAATTAATCACTGACATGTTTTGTATAAATAATTGAATGGCCCATCTAGTGACTAGATTAATTTAATTGTGCTCCTTCTGTTGGATATGAAGTTGTTCCTCAATTTTCCTGTCTTGATATATTGTGCCAGGCATGGTGGCATGCACCTGTAGTCCCAGCTACTCGGGAGCCTGAGCCAAGATGTGACCACTTCAAGCCTGGGGTGCATAGCTCAATCTGAATTTCTTAAAAAAATATATTTTCTTCAGATTCTCAGATGAGATTATAGTGAAACTGCTAGTCAGAACTCTGGTAAAAAGGGGCAGAAACATGTTTCTGACTGATACGGCTGGAGACTTGTAGGATAAATCGTTTTGGCTTTGGCTGTTACCAGATGTTTGTTTTTTGATTTGTTTTGTTTTTCAAGAAAGTGTCTCCATATATAGCCCAGCCTGGCCTCAAGCTCTGTCCCTACCTTGTCTCCTAAGGACTGGATTACAGCACAGTGCCCCAGACCTGGCTCGGATGCTCAGTTTATACCTCTAGGCTTTGTCTCTTTCTACTTTCCTCTGGCTGACTCTTGCCACCTGCTGGTAAAGATGGGAATTGTCAGTTTTTGTAATTTGTGATGCTTAGAAATGTTTTAAGAAAGAAGATTGATTTTAGCTGACTTCTTATGTCTATCCCTGAACCAACAAATTACTGTGACCAGGAGGATGGAGTACTTTGATAGACTACACTCTGTCTTGTACCCACAGTTGGGAATTACGTCAGCTTTAATCACATGGGAGATGAATTATTTTGGAATGTAGAAAGAAGGTAGTTCACTCAAGGAACAGCTTTGAACAGTCAGGAAAGGGATATTTTAAGATTTAAAGTTACTTTAATCATATAGTTTTTATTTATATATTTAAGTGTCTTATTTTGCTTCCACCAACATTGGATATTGTTTTCTAAACATTGCCAGGATATGGTGGCACAGGCCTGTAATCCTAACTCTTGGGAGGTTGAAGCAGACCAGTCTTAGCTGCAAGGTGAAATCCTTTTTTTTTTTTTTTTTGGTCTTTTTGAGACAGGGTCTCCCTGTAGCCCCAGCTGCTGCCCTGGAACTCACTACGTAGACAAGGCTGGCCTTGAACTTACAGAGATCCGCCTGCCTCTGCCTCCCAGTGCTGGGACTACAGGCATGCGCCACCATGCCCAGGTTGAAATCCTTTTTTAAAAAAGTACTTAAAGGTGGGGTGTGGTGGCATACACCTTTGGGAGGCGGAGGCAGGTGAATCTCTATGAGTTCAAGGTCAACCTGGTCTACATAGTGAGTGCCAGGCCATCTGGGACTATAGGGAGACAATGTCTTTAAAAAAAAAAACAAAAATATAAAGTACTTAAATTTTTTTTGGTTTATTTTTATTTTATGTGTATGAGTGTTTTGCCTGCATTATCTAACTGTAACATGTCCATGCAGTGCCCACAGAGGTCAGAAGTGGACATCGAATCCCTTGGAACTGGAGTAACTGATGGTTGTTAGCCACTGTGTAGATGCTGGGAACTGAACCTGGGTCCCCTGCAAGAGCAACTAGTGTTCTTAACCATTGAGCCATCTTTCTAATCCCAAAAGTACTTTAAAAAAAAAAAAGGTTTATTTATTTATTTTTATTTTATGTATGTGAGTGTATTGCCTGCATGTATGTGAGGGCACCTGTGTTGTACAATGCAGTGGAGGTCAGAAGAGGGCTTTGGATTCCCCGGAACTGGAGTTAAGGATGGTTTGTAGCCACCATGTGGGTGCTGGGAATCGAACCCAGGTCCTCTGCAAGAGCAGTCAGTGCTCTTAACCGCTGAGCCATCTCTCCAGCCCCTACTTCATTTATTTTTTATGTTTATTTTTTGATGTTAAGGATTGAATCCCTGACTTATTGCATGCTAAGTGCATGTTCTACCACTGAGATATACTCTAGCCCAGCAGCCATTTAAATACTGTTTCTTGGTTGATTGGGCAAAAAGGTGATCTGAAATTGTTTTAGTTTGAAGTTTTAAGTTAATTTACATTTTCACTGAAAATTTAAAAATGTCCCTTCTATTTCTCAACTCTTAACCTTTTTCTTATCCAGTTTAGACTATAAATACTTATTTCTCTTTCTTGTACCTAGGTCTGGTCCATCGAACTCACATGTCATCTTGTCGTGTGGATAAGCCCTCTGAGATGGTCGATGTTGGAGACAAAGTGTGGGTGAAGCTTATTGGCCGGGAGGTAAAGTCATGCACTACTGCTTCTTCATATGGTTTGAAAAACTAAAACATTGAGGTTTTTGGGGGGATTTTATGATGGTGAATGTATAAATGTTAATAGTGCCACCATGCCCAGGTGTATTTAAAATTTTTTTTGAGACAGTCTCACCGTGTAGCCCTGGCTGGCCTAGACTCAGAGTAATTTCCCTGCCTCCACTTCCTGAGTGCTGGGATTTAAAAGCATACACCATGATGCCTGGCCTTTTGGGGGCAAGTTTTATTTATAAATCTTGCCACAATCATCTTGAATTTGAATCTTCAGTTGTCTGTCTTGCAAATTTAGAAGGAATAACATGAACTACAGAAGTGTGGTGCAGTAAGTGCATGTTTGTGAACCTTGCCTCCTGAAGTTACCATATCCGGTAGACAGGGGAAAAGAGAGAAAAGAATCAGAAAGAAGGAAACCTAATCTTTACCACAAATTTCAAAGTGCACCTGTTAGATACACTTCAATTTGGGCCAGAATGAAAAAGGACACAGAGTTTACAATCATTTTTCCTAGTGCCTGGCACCATGCGATGGGAGGGAAATGAGACCTCAAGGTCCGGTTAATAACTGCTCACCAGAGGGCACGAGCGCTGCGGGAACAGGAATGGGTATCAGAGGCACAGGAGCACGCAGTCTGCTATTCCACCAGGAAACTGTAGGGGCAATGCCAGAAGAGCTACTAAAAAGCTGAAAAAACTATTCCAATGCTTCTGTGTGCTCAATTATCCAGATACAAAAGTGTACCAGAGCCGAGCGTGGTGGCATATGCTTAGAATCCCAACACTCAGGAGGGTGAAGCAGGAGGATTATGTGTGTATGTCTTGTGTTTCTGTGTGCATCTCTCTCTCTCTCTCTCTCTCTCTCTCTCTCTCTCTCTCTCTTATGTTCAAAGGCAGGCTGTGGTTGTTACGGAGCTCAGAGGACAACTTGGTGAAATTGGTTTTCTCCTTTCTCCTTTGGTCCCAGGGATCAAACTCATGTCTTAGACTTGGTGGCAGGTATCTTTACCTGCTGAATCATCTCAGTGGCCCCTGTTCTTGGATTTCTGAGAAATCATTGCTGGTTTTCCCCTGAGATAGGAATGGGCAAGGCCCATTTCCTTGGTCTGCTTCTTTGCTCCCAGTGTGCTTAGCTCAGGACTTTGTCATTAGAGGAGCCTAGTGTTTATTCTGAGATTAGAAGTTTGATTATGATTATGAAATGATAGTGGTTTGGCAGTCTCAATTAAGTACTTAAGAGGTTTGGAGGGGCTGGGGACATAGCTCAGTTGGTAAAGTACTTGTCACCTAGCGCTGGAGAGGTGCAGACAGAAAGCGCCCTCAGGCTTGCTGGCCAGCCAGCCTAGCCCAATTGGTAAGTTCCAGGTCCCAATAAGAGACCTTGTCTCAAAAACGGGCTCCTGAGAATGATACCTGAGGTTGATCTCTGGCCTCCACACACATATACCCACATGAATGTTCCCCTCCCCTCAACCCACAAAGTGGTTTTGGTGACTCTCTTTTTATCTTTTTCAGATGAAAAATGATAGAATAAAAGTGTCCCTTTCCATGAAGGTTGTCAACCAAGGAACTGGGAAAGACTTGGATCCCAACAACGTTATCATTGAGTAGGTAAAGGGTTTATGAGGGCCTAAACCCTACCCAAAGTACAGAATGTTGTAATAAATTATGAACTGGGACCACTACCATTGATTGATATTAATGAATAACAGAACGTTTATGATGTAATTATGCCCTTTAGTTTTTAAAAATATTTTATTATTTTTATTTTTTTATGTGTATTCGTGTATTGCCTGCATGCAGGTAAGTACACCTGTGTCGTGCAATGCCCATGGAGGTCAGAAGAGGCTATCAGATCCCCTGAGACTGGAGTTCTGGGCAGTTGTTAGCTGCTATGTGGGTGCTGGGATTTGAACCTGGATCTTCTGCAAGAACAGTCAGTGCTCTTGACCGCTGAGCCATCTCTCCAGCCCCATCCCCTTTAGTTTTTATCAGTATAAAATGTAGTTAAGCCTGCTGTATAGTTCTTGTCTGGTTTTTTGCTTGTTTTGAGGCAGGGTCTCATTGGCCCAGGGTGGCTTCAGACTCTCACAGTCTCCCAAGTGCTGGGATAATAGGTGTGTGCACCACACCTGGCTTACTGCAGCAGTTGAAGGCTGCAGTGCTCACATACAAATCTTTCAGCACAGGAATGTTTCATCAGCAGTTTTGTCTTTATCTTTTTTCTGCTTCTGCCCTTCAGCCTGTTAGCCTGAGAGCATTCATGGACTGCTGCTACTTGCCTCTCCTGAGTGGTTTCTGCATTTGGGCTAAAAAAAAGAGACAGTGGGGTGGGGGTAGTATAATCTTGGTGCAGTGGCAGTGGTGTTTAGATTTCCGCATCTTTGACCAGCACCTTTCATTGACTCTTTTGACCTTTCATTTCTGAACAGAAGATTTTCTATTGATCTAGGGGTGATGTCTGGCAATATAGGAAATTTGTTGTCTGACTCAAATCCTTTATTGAATTTCTTTTTTAGTTTTTTTTCACTTATTTGTTTGAGGGGTGGTAGGCATGGAGGTCAGAGGACAACTTGTGGGAATCATTTCTCTCCTTCTACCATGTGGGTCCTGGGGATTGAGCTCAGGTCCTCAAGGTTTTGCAGCAAGCACTTTTACCTGGTGAGCCATCTGTTGTGTGACAGACTTTTCCAGTGGATCTTAAACACACACTTAACCCCAGAAAGGGAGCCCATGACAGACCAAAGTAACAATTACACTGAAGTCCAACTTGGTGAACTAATGAGTTTGTGTTGGGTTGCAAATAGGAGTGTGAGTTGTTCTTTCAGGAGCAGGGATGACTTGAAATTAGGGTATCACTTAAATCCCACCTAGCGCAGGTTATGACTCATGAAAGCTGCAGCCCCAGAGCTCTCCACACAGCTCACAAACAGTGCCACAGGTCTGGGAGTCTGCTCTGAGCAGCACTGCCGCTGGGTCTCTGTCTCCTCCAGCAGTTGTTTACTGCGTCTCTTACTGCGGAGGGGCCATTGAGAATCTTCCAAGTTTCAGCCTTCCTGGTCAAGTAAAGTTTGTTTACCTCCTGAGTCTCCTGAGCCGCCCTCATTTCCTGCTATACTGGACATCTGTCCAGTCCCCTTTATTGAATTTCTAACCAGTTTTCTTAATCTTTAAGATCCCTGGAGGAGGGTGATGGTGAGATAGTTCAGCAGGTAAAGGTTCCTTGCTATGCAAGACTGACAATCTGAGTTCAGGCCCCAAACACATGTAAAGGTGGAGAGATCCAACTCCATATAGTTGTCCCCTGATCTCCACATGCTTACCCACATACATCAAGCACAAATACACTTCAAGAAAAAAGTTCCCTTAAGGGATTTTGAGGGGCTTATTATTTTCAGTGTTTTCAAGCAAGTCAACTAAGCTGGGTGTGGTGGCGCACACCTTTTGTCCCAATACTTGGGAGGCAGAGGCAGGCGGATCTCTGTGAGTTTAAGGCCAGCCTGGTCTACATAGTGAGTTCCAGGCCAGCTGGGGCTACAGGGAGACCCTGTCTCAAGAAAAGTCAACTAAATCACACATTTATCTTCAGGTTAATCATGATATAATTTGTTGTGTTGGTTTTTGTTTTTGTTTTTGAGTCAGGGTTTCACTATATAGCCCTGGTTAGCTTGGAACTTGCTATATAGGCCAAGCGGGCCTGGAACTCAGAGATCCACTTGCTTCTACCTCCCTAATGCTGTGATTAAAGTTGTGCACCATCACCATGGCATTGGTAAAGCATCATGTTAGTTCACTCTGTGGCAGCGATGTCATTCATTGATACATAAACTGTATGTGCTGGCAATTCCTGTAATCCCAGCACTTGAGAGACTAAGGCAAGAGAATAGTGAGTTGAAGGCTGACCTGAGCTACTTAATGAGTTTGGGGCCTTTCTGAGCTACATAGTGAGACCCTGTCTCAGGATCAAAAAAGAGAAAGTAATGAATGTTATTTAAATTAGATCTTTATTGCAAAAAAAAAAAAAAATTAGAAGCCGGGTGTGGTGGTACATACCTAATCTTCAATTTTATTTTTTCTGTTTTCTAGCTTGGTAATATGTAGGGTGTGGTTATATAGAAAATTCTAGTGTGTCAGATACTTGAATCTAGGACCTAATGTTAAAGCATTTGCCCTATTTATCACAAAATGGTTCTTGCTATTGGGTGTTTTTGTTTAGTCTCTAAACATTGACGAGTTACAGGTCTGCTTATTTTATTATTATTATTATTATTATTATTATTATTATTATTTATTTTGGTCTTTTTGAGACAGGGTCTCCCGGTGGCCCCAGCTGGCCTGGAACTCTATGCTGGGATTCAAGGCATGTGCCCCCATGCCCAGCTGTATTAGTCAGGGTTCTCAAAAGAAACAGAACCGGTAGAATGAATATATATGTATAGAGATTTATCAGCTTAGCTCACAGGATAGAGTCTGAGTAGTCTAACAATGGCTGCACCACACTGTTGCTTAGTCCACAAGGCTGGATGTCCCAATCAGTAGTCCCAATCTGGCACTGAAGGTCTGACAAATTCCAAAAGATCAGCTAGTCTTCAGTCTACAGAAGCAAGATGAACTCACCAGCGAGAGAGAAGACAAGCAGCAAGAAGCCTGGTGTTCCCCTCTGCCTTGGTCTTTTATACCAGCTGCCATCAGAAGGTAATGCCCACATTTAGGGTGTGTCTTCCGGCTTTAGATGATCCAATCAAGAAGATCTCTTTCATTTCAGTTAATCTCAGATCCAATCAAGTTGACACCCAGGATTAGCCATCACACCAGCTATAGGTCTGCTTATTGACAAAACACTTTTCAGTTACAATAGAAATCTTTTGTAACTGGCTCAGAAATGTTAAAGTCTGGTACTTGCTGGTTACATTGTAATAAAATTGCTTTTCCCCCAAAGAGTCCTATGTCCTAGAGATTCTTTAAAAAGCTCTGAAATTTGCCAAAGCCACCCTTACAATGGTAAACTATAAAACAAGTAAAAGAGATAATTCTTGTTCTCAGAAAAAGGGTAAGGAAGGGGAAAGGCCTTCTGTTTACAGGTTGTAAGTGTCTCTGTGTATAGACTGTCTAGTAATAACCAAGTGGCAGAGCGTGTGCTAACCTGGGTCCGCAGGTGCAGCCAGGAAAGCAGCATGGGTGCTGGAATGATCAGACTTCAGGTTTAGACCTCAGAGTCCTAGTTCTGCTCCAGACTAAAATAACCTTGAACAGATTCTTAGTCTCTAAACCTCAGCCTTTTCACTGTAAATGGAAGTAAGGATACATACATATCTCAGAAATGACAGAGTGAGGGCCCATGAGATGGCTCACCTGATAAGGGCAGTTGCAATCAAGCCTGATGATCCTAGTTAAATACCTGAGACCTACATGGTGGAAGGAGAGAACCAGGTCCTACAGATTGTTCTCTGACCTCGGCACACACATACAACGGTATGCATCCCCCCCCCATAAATAAATTATTTTAAAAATGATGGAATAGTTTAGGTAAACCTTAGTAGTGAACACTTAATATAGATAATTGCTTGTAGTTATTATATTATTAATTTTTGAGACAGGTTCAATCTCCCCATAGCCCCAGCTGGCTTGGAACTTGCTTTGTAGACCAGGCTGGCCTCCATCTCACTCAGATCCATCTGCTTCCCAAGTGCTGGGATTAAGGGTGTGTGCCACCTGGCATAGTTACTTTTTTTTTTTTTTTTTTTTTTTTTTTTTTTTTTTGTCTTTTTGAGACAGGGTCTCCCTGTAGCCCCAGCTGTCCTGGAACTCACTATGTAGACCAGGCTGGCCTTGAACTCACAGAGATCTGCCTGCCTCTGCCTCCCGAGTGTTGAGATTAAAGGTGTGCGCCACCACGCCCAGCAATAGTTACTATTTTTATTTATTTATTTATTTTTGGTCTTTTTGAGACAGTCTCCCTGTAGCCCCAGCTGTCCTGGAACTTGCTATGTAGACCAGGCTGGCTTCAAACTCACAAAGATCCACTTGCCTTTGCCTCCCAAGTGCTGGGACTAAAGGCATGTGCCACCACACCTGGCTACTATTTTTATTTTTAAATAGTATGACCATGAACTCGGGCTAGGCTTTATCTTTCTTGACTCCCACAGTGCTTGGTGTCTAGCATTCTTGCAGTGCATTCATTTACTCATTTATTAAAAAATACAGCATGAGAGTTTACAAGAAAGGGTTTTAGGAAGTAACTTAATGAGGAAGAGTTCATTTCAGGCTATGGTGCTCAAAGAAAAGGTGACATTTGAGCTAGGTCTTGAGTGGATAGTGTTTTTTCACAAAGCAGGAAAAGGAATGTTGTTTCAGGCGGATGAAATGATTCTAGGAAAGGCATGAGGCAGGAAAGCAATGGTACATCAGGGAGTCCTGTGAGTGTAAGAGGCTCTCAATCAAATTGGCCTTGCTAGGTCCCCATCCTCTAGTTTTCCTTGTTGAACTTGGCATCATCATGTGCTCTCCAGCTACTCACAGGTTATCCACCTCTCATTTTCCATCAGGGTCCTATATTGCATTCAGTGTCATTTAATAAGTGACTATGTGGAAAGGGCTTAGATAGAATAGTGCTTAGAAGAGTGCTTATGACTCACCATGAGACCATTTATATGGTTTAGCCATCTCCCTCTGCTGCTAGTCTGTAAGCTCCTGGAGAATAAGAAATGAAAATTCATCTGATTGTATGCTGGGTGGATTGGCTGAGAAGATTTAGAGGCATGGAGGCCAGTGGCAGTCATTACTCTTAAGTGACCTAAGATGAAGCTAAATTACCACAATGGTCTGAGGACAGAAGAGAGACCTGAACGTTAAGAGTTAGATCTGATGGTACAGCCCTATAACCCTAGTTACTAAGGAGGCTGAGGTAGGTCAAGGCCTGCCTGGGCTACAGAGGGGGAGTTCAAGGCCAGTTTGGGCAACTTAGTGGAACTATCTCAAAAGAAAAAGTAAAAAGAAAGATGAGAATGAAGCTTGTGGTGTAGTGCTTGCCTAGCATGGTTGAATCCCTAGGTTCAATCCTCAGTATTTTGAAAAGTAAAAATAAATAAATGAAATTTAGTACCTGATTTCTCAGTCATACTAGTTGCATTTCAAGTACTTAGCAATCACATATTAGGGCAGTACTAAGACATTCATAGTATGTTTCTACCATTACATCGTTTCGGGCAACACTGCACAGTACTCCTAGAAGTCTTGCCGTAAGGTGCACAGTGAGGAAAGCATAAGTAAATGAAAGAAAGTAAAGTGATCAGAGGATACAGTGCTGTGGAAGCTAATTTTATTTATTTATTTATTTATTTATTTATTTATTTATGTGTATGAGTGTTTTGTCTGCTTGTATGTAAGTGCACCTAGAAGGCCAGAAGAGGGCGTCAGATCCCCTGGAAGTGGAATTATTCATGATTTTTATCTGCCATGTGGGTGCTGGGAACTGAACCTAGGTCCTCTGGGAGAGCAGTCAGTACTTTTAACTACTGATCCTTTCTCTCCAGCCCCCTCTGGAAGCTAAAAGAATAATTAATTAATTCTGCCTTTTTGTAGCAGAGAGCATTCCATAGAAAATGCGGTATTTGTCAGGGCTATACAGTCATCCTTGTCTCAAAACAAAACATGGCATTTGAGCTGTACTTTGTCAAGAAGTTCAGAGTTACGGAGCAGAAAACGGAGTACCTTTGTCCTCTGCATTTCCTCTCTTGAACCCACATGTTTCATGAAGCTTTTGTCTAAAATATGTGAAATCTTTTGTTCTACTTTTTTTTTTTTAAGACTCTAAGGCATGCACATGGTGCACTTACATGTAGGCAAAACACTCATATTCATAAAATGATAATAAATCAGAAAAAAAAATTCTTTTTTTGGTCTTTTTGAGACAGGGTCTCTGGTAGACACAGCTGGCCTGGATTCACTATGGAGACCAGGCTGGCTTTGAACTCAGAGATCCACCTGCCTCTGCCTCCTGAGTGCTGGAATTAAAGGCATGCGCCACCACACCCAGTAGAAAATTTTTTTTAAAAGGCTGGAGAGCTGGCTCAGGGGTTGAGAGCACTGACTGCTCTTGCTGAGTACCTGGGTTTGGTTCGTAGCACCCACATGACTGCTAACAATTGTTGTAACTTCATTTCCAAGGGATCTGACATCCTCCATGGGCATTGCATAACACAGGTACACTTACATATATGCAGGCAGAACACTCATACATGTAAAATACAAATAAATCAGAAAAAAATTAAAGATTTTAAAATTATATATATTTGTGTATGTGTGTGTGTGTGCATGCATGTGCCACAACATGTATGTTGAGGTCAGAGAACAACTTGCAGGACTTGGGTTTTTTTCTTTTTTATAGTGTGAGTCTTGGGGATCCAACTCAGGCTTAGCAGCAAGTGTCTTTACTCTCTGAGTCATCTTTCTGGTCCTTGTTATGATTAATTATTTTTAATTGTGTATATGTAGGTTTGTGTATGTGCATGCTTTTCTAGAGGACTTAAGTTTGATTCCAAGCATCGGGAGGTTCACAACTGCCTGTAATTCCAGCACCAAGGAATCCCATGCCCTCTTCTGGCCTCTGCAGGCACTTACACACACACACACGTGCACACATGCACATACATAAATTTAAAAAAAAAATTCATAGAAGCACTGTTCATAATAGAAATTACACTGGGACTGGAGAGATGGCTCAGTGGTTAAGAACACTGACTGCTCTTGCAGAGAATCCAGGATTGATTCCCAGCACCCACATGGCAGCAGAGTGAAACCTCCCTTTAACAGCAGCAGCAGCAAAAGAATACTATACACCAATGAGAATAATGGTTCATAACTATGGATAATAGTGTGGATAACTTTCAGAAACAACAGAAGCCATACACAGAAATATCTGGGGTGTGTATCTCTGTAGGTACAGATTTTTTTTGGTACAGGAGATTGAAGACAAGACCTCTTACATGCTAGGCTCATGTTCTAACACTGAGCTAACATCGCAAGTTCTTTTCTACTTTATTTTGAGACAAATTCTTGCTGAATTGTTCAGGCTGGCCTCTAACTTGTGAAAATGCTCAGCCACCCCAGGGCTGGGATTACATTTGTATAGTAACACCATTGCCAGCTACTGTACATAAAAATAAGGACAGTGATTGTGTACTGTTACAAGTAAGAAGAGTGATTACTGTTGGGACAGGCATAATGACTGTCGTGAGCATGTGACAGTGATTTGAAGAGAGGCTGGTTATATAGGGAGGTTCAGACTGTCAATCAAATGTAGTTTTCATATGTTTATTATGTACAGAAACTTGTGCTCATTCCAAATGTGTGGGAATGTGAACAAAGATTAATTATAGCCAAGGGGCTCCAGGAAGAAGACTTGATAGAAAGATAAGAGCCTTGAAATGCTTGGTGCAGTGCATTGGTGAGGTGAGAGCAGAGAGGAAACAGAGCATTTCACAGTGGGCTCTGCCTGAGCTAAAGCACTGAACCACCTGGAAAAGGTGAAACAGACTCATTTGGCCAGAGCATAAAGATGAGGCTGGAAAGTAGGTTAGAGACAAACCATGAAAGGCCTTCAACATCAAGGTGTAAGCAATTTGGACTTGGTAGAAAGCCTGTGAAGGTCTTTTAAATCCATGAGTGATCTAGTAAGGGTTGTAGGGTATTTAGCTTAGTGAGTAATTGTATTTTCGTACATATATTAGTGAGATGAGACCTAGTCTTATTCATAGCTGTTAATTCAAAGTCTCATTCTAAATGAGTTTAAAAAAAAAGAAAAAGGGCGAGAGCTGTTCTATTGTCATGTTCTGCCCAACACTTCTCTTTTCCTTGAAAAAACAAAAACCCAACCAATAGCATCACCTGTACTATCTCTGGCCACATCTCTGAAAAGGGTCAGCAGTCAGTATCTTTTTTACTACAGGCAAGAAGAGAGGAGGAGGCGGTCCTTCCAGGATTACACTGGGCAGAAGATCAGCCTTGAGGCTGTCCTGAATACTACGTGCAAGAAGTGTGGTTGCAAAGGTGAGGAGGGCCTGCCATCTCTGTATCTCCCTCCCTGTAATCCCCTGCCGTCTCTGTAAGGCCTTCTCCCTATGAACCCTCGGCCATCTCTGTATCCTCCTTGTGAACCCTCTGCCATCTCTGTATCCTTCTCCCTGTGAACCCTCGGCCATCTCTGTATCCCTCTCCCTGTGAACCCTCTGCCATCTCTGTATCCTCCTTGTGAACCCTCTGCCATCTCCGTATCCCTCTCCCTGTGAACCCTCTGCAATCTCTGTATCCTTCTCCCTGTGAACCCTCAGCCATCTCCATATCCCTCTCCCTGTACACCCTCTGCCATCTCTGTATCCCTCTCCCTGCGAACCCGCCGCCATCTCTGTATCCCTCTCCCTGCGAACCCGCCGCCATCTCTGTATCCCTCTCCCTGCGAACCCGCCGCCATCTCTGTATCCCTCTCCCTGCGAACCCGCCGCCATCTCTGTATCCCTCTCCCTGCGAACCCGCCGCCATCTCTGTATCCCTCTCCCTGCGAACCCGCCGCCATCTCTGTATCCCTCTCCCTGCGAACCCGCCGCCATCTCTGTATCCCTCTCCCTGCGAACCCGCCGCCATCTCTGTATCCCTCTCCCTGCGAACCCGCCGCCATCTCTGTATCCCTCTCCCTGCGAACCCGCCGCCATCTCTGTATCCCTCTCCCTGCGAACCCGCCGCCATCTCTGTATCCCTCTCCCTGCGAACCCGCCGCCATCTCTGTATCCCTCTCCCTGCGAACCCGCCGCCATCTCTGTATCCCTCTCCCTGCGAACCCGCCGCCATCTCTGTATCCCTCTCCCTGCGAACCCGCCGCCATCTCTGTATCCCTCTCCCTGCGAACCCGCCGCCATCTCTGTATCCCTCTCCCTGCGAACCCGCCGCCATCTCTGTATCCCTCTCCCTGCGAACCCGCCGCCATCTCTGTATCCCTCTCCCTGCGAACCCGCCGCCATCTCTGTATCCCTCTCCCTGCGAACCCGCCGCCATCTCTGTATCCCTCTCCCTGCGAACCCGCCGCCATCTCTGTATCCCTCTCCCTGCGAACCCGCCGCCATCTCTGTATCCCTCTCCCTGCGAACCCGCCGCCATCTCTGTATCCCTCTCCCTGCGAACCCGCCGCCATCTCTGTATCCCTCTCCCTGCGAACCCGCCGCCATCTCTGTATCCCTCTCCCTGCGAACCCGCCGCCATCTCTGTATCCCTCTCCCTGCGAACCCGCCGCCATCTCTGTATCCCTCTCCCTGCGAACCCGCCGCCATCTCTGTATCCCTCTCCCTGTGAACCCGCCGCCATCTCTGTATCCCTCTCCCTGTGAACCCTCTGCCATCTCTGTATCCCTCTCCTTGTGAACCCTCTGCCATCTCCATATCCCTCTCCCTGTAAACCCTCTGCCATCTCTGTATCCCTCTCCCTGTGAACCCTCTGCCATCTCTGTATCCCTCTCCCTGTAAACCCTCTGCCATCTCTGTATCCTCCTTGTGAACCCTCGGCCATCTCTGTATCCTTCTCCCTGTGAACCCTCTGCCATCTCTGTATCCTCCCTGTGAACCCTCTGCCATCTCTGTATCCCTCTCCCTGTGAACCCTGTACTGGATAAAAGAGACAGTGCAGTGTTGGTTTAGCTCACTTTGGTTTTTAGCTGACTGGTGGCTATACTTATTCATGGTGTTCTACCATACTTCCATTAGAGTTGATGTGGTTTCTGCTTACTTTTCTGAATTCTGCCCCAGGAGTGCCTATCACTATCCACCCCCTGTACCTCCACTTTCCTCTCTGCAGCTGATGAATGCTGTGATTGGACAAGGTCCTGAGTGTTATGCCAGGAGAGTTAGGAGTGTTAAATTATGATTATCACTCTAAATTTTACCTCCAAGGACAATTACTGTTCTGTAGAAATTAAATGACTTGGATATATATTCCTAAGGATCCAAATTAAACCCTTTTCCCTCATCATTATCTCTAACTTCAGAGTTCAGAATACAATGTCCTTGTAGTAGTAAAAGATAGAGGATAGTTACTTCCTTTTAGCTCTGTTTCCTCAGGTTTCTTCTAGTCTTACTCAAATATTAAAAAGTTCTTTCAGCCTGATTTCCCTTATGGGAGCTATAATGAGGGAGATTGGCAGCTTCTCATTTTCAGGGTGACCTCAATTTGTCACTCTTCTCCCTAACCTTCCATCCATCTTGCTCTGTTCATTTTTCTGCAGTGACTGGTAGCAGACTTTTGCTATGACTGAATTTGTGGAATTTAAAAAAATAAATATTTCATTATTTTTATTTTATGTGTATGAGTGTATTGCCTGCATGTATGTGAGTGCACCCATGTCATGCAATGCCTCGAAGGTCAGAAGAAGGTGTCAGATTCCCCTGGAACTAGAGTTTAGGACAGTTTGTAGCCACCATGTGGGTGTTAGGAATTTAATCCAGGTCCTCTGCAAGAGTAGTCAGTGCTCTTAACCGCTGAGCCATCTCTCCAGCCCCAAATTTTTGGAATTCTTAAACCCGTTTCTTACTAATGTAGAGAGAGAATGGAAAGGGAAAAGTGAGAGAAGGAATGCCTGCTTGGAAAACTGCCCCAGCATTCTGGGTGCCTGAAAACCCTGTGCTGTGTCCCCTCCCAGGCTCCACCCAGTTTCTGAACTCATTGTACAAAGTAGCTTATACATGCATGGGCTTTTGGTTATCTCACACAGTTCTTTCCTGCCCTAGAAACTTAGAACAAGCTGCATAAGGTACAGAATCTGTTAAAAAGCACCCCCCAACCCCCAACACTGTAGGCTCAGGGTGGAGTCTATTTCTTTTCTTTCTTTTTTTTTTTCTTAAGACAGGGTCTCTCTGTAGCCCCAGCTGGCCTGGAACTCACTATGTAGACCAGGCTGGCCTTAAACTCACAAAGATCTGCCAGCCTCTGCCTCCTGAGTGCTGGAATTAAAGGCATGAGCCACTATGCCTGGCTGGAGTCTCTATTTCAACTTGTATCTACCAGGTGCTCCATAAGACAGAAAAGAATAACAAGAAGTGGAATTGCTCCAGTCAGCAAAGGTCAGGCTGAAGGTAGTTGGCTTCAGTGTAGCCAAAAGAACATGGGGCAGAGAGACATCAAACCTGAAACAGGCGTTAATATTGCTGCTGTGTGACCTTGAGCTGTTAACTCTAGGCCTTGGTATCCTCACAAATACAGGATGTTGGATTTCATGATCTCTAAGGCCCTTGTCAGACCTAACATCTGAATGTTCAGTGCCCCTAGGTGATGGTGCCTGTTTCTGTGTGTTAGCTTAGATGTGAGTGCCCACTTCCTGCCCCCTATCTTCCTTTAGGGTTTGGCCAGCAACTCAGTTCCCTCTGTTCAGTGTCCTGCTCTCTGGAGCAGCCTCTCATTGTCAGGAATAAGTTCCAAAATAGATCTTTAAAAATTAATAAGCCCCATTGCTAATAGATAGCAGCACAAGCCTGTGTGCTTGGATCTCCTACTTTTCTAAAACAGCACCAGCATCTCCTGCAGCTCCAAGACCAGCTGCTCGCCTCGCTCTGGTTGAGTGAGCAATGCCACCTTGAGGTGGCAAAAACTCTGCTTGGAATAAACTCAGTAATAGCTTCCGAACAAGTGGGCCCTGTCAGGAGCCTCTGGGGAACATCACCTTTGGAGGGAAGAGGCTACTTCCTCTCTACCTTTTCTGCTGCTTTTCTGCAGGCCACTTTGCAAAAGACTGTTTCATGCAGCCAGGTGGAACCAAGTATTCTCTGATACCTGATGAGGAAGAGGAGAAAGAAGAGGTTGGCAAGGCAGAAGAATTTGAGAAGCCTGATCCCACAAGAAATTCTTCTAGGAAAAGAAAGAAGGTGAGAGCTGTCTTGCTTTTATTTATCACGTAAATAATAGGAATTTTAAAATAAAAATGCTTTTGTAGACATTTAGAAATAGTGAAAAATGAAGAAAACCAGGATCTCTTATAACCTTTCCAGAGAGACTCTTACTAGTATTTTTGGCATATTCTGATCTTTTTCCCAGGTAACAATAGAAATAGATGTATGTACACACACACACACACACACACACACACACACACACACATATGATTGTGGTCATTGTAGTTACAGTTTATGACTATGATTATTTATTTGTTTTTAAGACAGGATCTCTTATGGCGCAGGCTGATGTCAAGGCCATACTGCACAGTCAAGGATGACCTTAAATGCCTGATTCTCTTGCCTCCACCTCCCAATTGTGCCACCACACCTGGCTGTAATTATTAATTTATTTTACTATTACTGGATTTTTTTTATAACTTCCAACTTAAAATTTTAGTCCATATGTAGCCCCAGCTGGCCTTGAACTCAGAGACCCACCCGCCTCTGCCTCCTGGGTGCTGGGATTAAAGGCATGTGCCACCACGCCTGGCTAGTTTTCATTTCTGTAGCTGTATAGGAAATGTGAATCTTCTTTATTCTTCCTTTTCAAAATTGACTAGTCAGGTTCTCTTGGAAATTCTGTATGAATTTTAGGATCTTTCTTTTTTCTTGTGTATGTTGGGGGCAGTGCACATGCCATGTGTGGAGGTCAGAGGACAACCTGTAGGAGTCGGTTTTCTCTTTCTACCCTGTGAATTGCGGGGACCAAACTCAGAACACCTTTACCTACTGAAATATCTTACCAGTCAGTCCTAGGATGGATTTTTCTAATTTTGTCATTGGTATTTTGATAGGGATGGCAGTGAATCTGAGGTTTACGTGGGAAAGTATATCTTTTTTTTAAAAAAAAATATTTTTTTAAAAAAAACGTTTTATTTTTTTATTTTATGTGTATGAGTGTATTGCCTGCATGTATGTGAGTACGCCCATGTAGTGCAAGGCCATGGAGGTCAGAAGAGGGCTTCGGATTCTCCAGGAACTGGAGTTAAGGACGGTTTGTAGCCGCCATGTGGGTGTTCTCTGCAAGAGCAGTCAGTGCCCTTAACCGCTGAGCCATCTCTCCAGCCCCAAATATCTTAACTATATACATATTTTAATTATTTATTTTTATGTGTATGAGTGTTTTGCCTGCACATATATAAGTACAGTGCCCATGGAGGCCAGAAGAGGGCATCAGATTCCCCTGGAACTGCAGTTACAGATGGTTGTTAGCTGCCATGTGGGTGCTGAGAACTGAATTTAGGTCCTCTGTAAGAGCAATTAGTGCTATTAACCGCTGAGCTGTCTCTCCAGCCCCCATCTTAATTATATTAAGGTTTCCTCTCTCACTCCCCATTTCCTCCCTCTCCCACTTCCTTCTACCCATCTTCCTTATGCTAAACACATTCTAGACTAGAGCTATACCTCCTTGTGTGTTTCTTTCAGCAGCATTTTGTATCTCTTTCACCTCCTTAAGTTTATTCCTCAGCATTATATTCTTTTTGATGCTATTGTAAATTGAAGTCTTTTCATTCCCCCTTCCCCCCCTTACCCTGCCTATGTTTCTTGAGACAGGGTCTTCCTGTGTAATGCAGGGTGGCCTGGAGCTCACAGTCCATCTGGCTCTGGTTCCAAGATGTAGAATTACAAGCCTCTACCACTAAACTCAACTGGAGTTGTTTTCTTATTTTCTAAGTGCTCATTTTTAAGTGAATATACACATACTTGATTTTTTCCTTCTTGGTTTTTTTTTTTGTGTGTGTGTGTGTGTGTGTATGTGTGTGTGTATGTGTGTGTGTGTTTTAGACAGGGTCTCCCTGTAGTAGAGGCTGGCCTGGAACTCACTACATAGATAGACCAGGCTGCTCTTGAACTCACAGAGATCTGCCTGCCTCTGCCTCCCGAGTGCTGGGACTGCAGATGTGCACACATGCTTGATTTTGGCATATTGGTTATATACTACAACTTTGCTAGATCCCTTTCTTTCTTTTCCTTTTCTTTCTCTCTCTTTCACTCTTTCTTTCTTTCTCTTTCTTTTTCTTTTTTTTGAGACAGGGTCTCCCTGGAAACCCCAGTTGGCCTGGAACTTGGTATATAGACCAGGCTGACCTTGATCTCACCGAGATCTGGCTGTCTCTTCCTCCCAAGTGCTGGGATTAAAAGCATGAGCCACAAGGCCCGGTTTGTTTTATTTTTAATTATGTGTATGTGTATAGGTATGTGTGTGGGTATGTGCATGTAAGTACAGATGCCCATGGAGGCCAGAAGAGGGTTTAGGATCCCCTGGAGCTGGAGTTAAAGGCAGTTATGAGCCACCAGGTATGGGTTCTGGGAACTGAACTTGGGTCCTCTGGAAGAGCAGCATGTGCTCTTAATCACGGAGCCATCTCTCCAGGTCCATCCAGAGCTAATATTTTAAAAAATATTTTTTCACCCGGCATGGTGGCGCACACCTTTAGTCCCAGCACTGGGGAGGCAGAGGCAGGCAGATCTGTGTGAGTTCAAGTCCAGCCTGATCTACATAGTGAGTTCCAGGCCAGCTGGGGCTACAGGGAAACCCTGCCTCAAAAAGACCAAAAAAAATTTTTTTTTCATTATTTTTATTTTATGTGTATGAGTGTATTGGCTGCATGTATGTGAGTGCACCTGTGTCATACAATGCCTCAGAGATCAGAAGAGTGCTTTGGATTCCCCTGGAACTGGAGTTAAGAATGGTTCGTAGCCACCATGTGGGTGCTGGGAATTGAACCCTGGTCCTTTGCAAGAGCAGTCAGTGCTCTTACACACTGAGCCATCTCTCCAGCCCCCAGAGCTAAATTTTAAACTGTGATTATATATGTTCCAAGAATTATTCTCTCTCTTAACCTTTTCTGGGAGGAGGACGGTGATTTGTATAGAATATAATTTCTGTAGGTGTTTGGTTGAGGTCTTTTAGCATTGCTGATAATAGCTAGTGCAAGCTGTTGAATCCATCTGTTTCTTCCCAAGTCTGTTTCATGTCTCACTTCTGGGTTCTGGTAGAAGACAGTATTTAATGCAGAGCCTGTAAGACAGAAGATGCTAGGCAAAGTTGAAGAACTAGGAAATGTCAGGGGGGTTAAGAAAAGATGTCACATATTTTCAGAAATACCTGGCATATTACAGGCATCCTCTGACTTTGGATAGACAGACCAAATAATTTTTCCTTGGTTTCCTTCACTCTGAGATCTGCCTCAGTTTCTAGAGTAGTAGGTATTTACTCCTGCTGCTGCTGCTGCTGGGGAATAATAAGACATCAAGGCTGGAGCCTCCTACCTCTTTTCACCAAATGTCAGCATGTTGAATTCATGTCCGTATCTGAAAAGATAGGATGTGTTGGTTTAGCTTTGTATTTAGTACAATGGCAGTTTTTGTCCTAGTATCTGAAAATTGTAAGTCATTTTAATTGGGTATAGTTAGAACAAGAGAAAACTGTTGTGAATGGAAATGGGTTATAAAGTGATAAAATAGGAATGGGATTTTATATGGTGAATCATAGTGAGACCCTGTCAAAAAAGAAAAAAAAAAAAAAAAAGAGAAAAAGCTAAGCCAAAAGAACCTGACAGTGAAAATAATATAAGGAATGCAGAAAGAAAGCCAACTGTGTAGAATGCTTTAATGGGAAGCAGTGTTATGGTTCTCCTTTTTTTCCCTTACCCAGGTGGGGACAGGCTGTCTGTGCTTATTTACTTTCCCAGACCCTGCCCTTCCCAATGGACAGCCTGGTCAAGCTCTCAAGCCCACAATATCCTGGATTTCCATAGTCTCTGTGCTGGATAGCTTTAGTGTCAACTTGACACACCTGGGTTGAGGGAGCCTCAATTGGGGAATTGTCTCTATTGGACTGGCCTGTGGCCATGTCTGAGGGGCATCTTCTTGATGAGTGATGTGGAAGGGCCCAGCCCACTGTGGGTGGTACCACCCCTGGGCAGGTGGGCTTGTGTTGCATAAGAAAGCAGGCTGAGGGCCAGGCGTGGTGGCGCATGCCTTTAATCCTGGCACTCGGGAGGCAGAGGCAGGCAGATCTCTGTGAGTTCAAGGCCAGCCTGGTCTACATAGTGAATTCCAGGACAGCTGGGGCTACAGGGAGACCCTATCTCAAAAAGACCAAAAAAAAAAAAAAAAAAAAAAGGCAGGCGGAGCAGGGGCCAGGGGAGCAAGCCAGTAAGCAGCGTTCCTCCATGGCCTGTGCTCCAGCTCCTGCTTCCAGGTTCCTGCCCTGAGTTCCTACCTTGGGCTCCCTGATGAACTGCAACCTGGGAGATATAAGCTGAATAAACCCTTTCCTCCCCAAGTTCGTATTGGTCAGAGTATTTTGTCACAGCAATAAAGAACAAACTAGGACAGTCTCACTGCCCAGGGAGGTGCCAACTCTCAGCTAGAGCTTGGTGGTGTGAGTCTGGAGAGCCTGTTCTCTATTTCATTGAAAAAAAACTTTGACTCATCTGCTCTAGTTCTTTGGTGAGACTATAAGAACATCCTGGGGGGCTGGAGAGATGGTTCAGTGGTTACAAGCACTGGGGTTCAATTCCCAGCACCCACATGGCAGCTAACAACTGTCCATAACTCCAGTTACAGGAGATCTGATGCCCTTTTCTGACCTCCGAAGGCACTGTATGACAGGGCTGCACTTACATGCGGGCATAACACTCATACACATTAAATAAAAATAATAAATAAAAAGTTAAAAAAAATCCTGGGAATTGTCTGAAATAAGAAACAGTACTGGTTAGCTGGTGATGTAAGTCAGTGGTAGAGCACTTGCCTGGTATGCTCAAAGTTCTATGTTTCATCCCCAGCACTGGGGAAGGAGATCTTTTTAGGTATCACTGAGCACCTGTAATGCGTCAGGCACTATAGTTAGAACTTACTAAATTCTCATAGTATCCTTTGAAGTCAGTACTATTTCGAATTTATTAAAAATAGTCAAAAAAATCAAGGCAAGTGCGTGTGATTGCACATATTTTTAATTCTAGCACTTGGGAGGCAGAAGCAGGTGGATCTCCCTGAGTTTGAGGCAAACTGATCTACATAGTGAGTTCCAGACTAGCCAAGACTACATAGTAAGACCCTATCTCAAAAAAAAGTCAAATTCTAGGCTGGGTGTGGTAGCACAGGCCTTTAGTCCCAACACTTGGGAGTCAGAGGAAGGAGGATCTCTGTGAGTTCAAGGCTGGCATGGTTTACATAGTGAGTTCCAGGCCAGCTGGAGATACAGGGAGACCTTGTCTCAAAAAGACCAAAAAAAATAAAGCTGGGCATGGCAGTGCATGGCTTTAATCCCAGCACTCAGGAGGCAGTGGCAGGTGGATCTCTGAGTTCAAGGCCAGCCTGGTTCTCATAATGAGTTCTAGGCCAGCTGGGGCTACAGGGAGACCATGTCTCAAAAAGACCAACAAAACAAAACAACAGAATTATTTACAAAGATGTGAAGCCTTGGTTTACCTTTGAACACTTCTGGCTGGAGCCGTCTGCTCTTTCTCAGAGCACTTCTCTCCCTTTCTTTGGATGTGAGGAAAAATAATGTTAGGGAATAGTATTTTCTTTTCTCTGGCCATGGACCCTCCCAAAGCTTCTTCTCATGACATGTGGCCCATGATGGTTATCACCCTCCAGGGATATAAAGAGACTATTCTTCTATCACCAGTACATCTGTGGGGCTGTGGAAAGGGGAACGGTCAAGTTTGGATCACATTGGGTCCCTGGTCCACACTGGCAGCCACCAGGGATCATGCATGTTTTCCCCTCCTTTATGGCTATGCCTCAGCCTTCTAGGGTCTGGACCTCCCTTGCCATGCCCTGTAGAGTGGGCTTGCCTATGAGGTTGTTTTTATTTAAAATGATAGTAGAGGGGCTGGCAAGATGGCTTAGCAAGTAAAGGCACTTGATGACCTGAGTTCAAGCCCCAGGACTCACAAAGTAAAAGGAGCATGTGTGTGCACACAAGTAATAAATGTAAAAGTAACAGAAAAGCCTGCTGTGTTTACTTCTTCCAAACAATGCAGATATCTAGCATGGTAGTACATCCCTGCAGTTCCAGCACTCTGGAAACTGAGGTAGGAGGCTCAGGAGTTCAAGGCCAGCCTTGGCTACATGAGTTTGAGGGTAGCCTGGACTACAGGGGACCTTGTCTCAAAGTCTCTCGTCCAAAATAATTGTTTCTTCCTGTTGCTTTGTCAGAAAGTCTGACCTAAATTTATCTATTTATTAGTATTTTGAAAAGTATTTTATGTGTATGAGTGTATTGCCTGCGTATGTGTAAGTGCACCTGTGTCATGCAATACCCACAGAGATCAGAGGAGGGTGTTGGATCCTGGAACTTGAGTTACAGGCAGTTGGTTGTTAGCTGCCATGTGGGTGCTGGGAATAGAACCCCAAGTCTCTGGAAGAGCAGCCAGTGTTCTTAACTCCTGGGCAATCTCCAGCTCCAGTTTTTGGTATTTTGGAGACAGAGTCTCTATAGCCCCAGCTGGCCTGGAACTTACTGTGTAGACCAGGCTGACCTTGATCTCAGAAATTTGCCTGCCTCTGCCCCGAGTGCTGGGATTAAAGGTGTGCACGACCACTCCTGGCTTATAAAATATTCTTATTAGTTGATATTTGCTGTACAAAATGAGTTTCACTATGACATATGTGTCATTTATTTTGATCATGCACTCCCCTCCCTCCTCCTTACCCCACACATCCATTTCCTCTTTCCAAATAGTCCTTCAATTTTCATGTTTTTTTTCTTGATTCTTCTGTAAGAATACACTCCTATGAGAGAAAATACGTGGTTTCTCTTTCTGAGCTTGGTTTATTTCACTTTGATCATAAGTTCCATTTGTTTTCCAGCAGGTGACATTTCATTTATTTGTTGTTGTTGTGTGTTTGACATTTCACTCTCCTATATGATTAAATATTCTACTCTATATATATTGCCACTTTAAGAAAATTTTTTCATCTTTTTATTTTATGTGTAAGAGTGTATTGCATGCACATGTGTAAGTGCATCAGTGTTGTGCAGTGCTGGAGGAGGTCAGGAGAGGGCATCGGATCCCCTGGGACTGGAGTTACAGGTAGTTATTCGCCATGTGGATGCTGGGAATTGATCCAGGTCCTCTGCAACAGCAGCCAGTGCTCTTACCGGTTGAGCCATCTCCTCAGCCCTTGCCCCATTTTCTTTAACCATCTTTTGAGGAAAGGTTTCCTTCTCCTTCCATTTATTTATTTATATTTATTTATTTATTTATTTTTTATTTGGTCTAGTGCTGGGATTAAAGGCTTTTCTCTCTCCATTTTTGAGAGAGGGTTTCACTATAGAACCAGGCTAGCCTCAAACTTGTGGTCACCCTCCTTCCAGACTCTTCTGAGTGTGGAATTACAGGTGTTATGCAACCACTCCCGTCTGAGCCATTTTCCTGTCATAAGGCTCTTACAAGCCAGACTGGGAACCAAGAGTTCTAAATTTTTAAATTCTTATTCTGTGACTTTGTACATGTGAGTCAGTGTCTCCAGATAGATAATCTCTAGGGACACCTTTTGATTTTAATACTCTGTACTTTAAAAAATGTAGTAGATGCTAGGTTTTGAAAAAGAAACATCAGGCCAGGTATGGTGGTGCACGCCTTTAATCCTAGCACTTAGGAGGCAGAGACAGGCGGATCTCTGTGAGTTCGAGGCCAACTTGGTCTACAGAGCGACTTCCAGGGAGACCCTGTCTCAAAAAGACCAAAAAACAAAAACAACAACAAAAAACATCAGCCAGGCATGGTGGCTCAGGCTCAGAGGCAGGCGAATTTCTATGAGTTCAAGGCCAGCCTGGTCTACATAGTAGTGAGTTCCAGGCCAGCTGGAACTACAGGGAAACCCTGCCTCAAAAAGACCAAATAAAATAAAATGAAAATAAACATCAAACCTGACAGAGTTATATGGAGTAAAAAGAATTAAGATCTAGAGAGATGGCTTGGCAGTTATGAACACTTGCTGCTTTTACATCAGACCTGAGTTCAGTTCCTGTCACCCAGGCTCATAACTGCCTGTAATTCCGGCCCCAGGGGATCCAACACCTCTTCTGGCCACCTTGGGCCCTGCACACACATACCTTTATCCACATACATATAAATAAATAAAAATAGTCTTTGAAGAAAAAATTGAAACTTCCCCCTCATTCAGCTCATTCCTGAGGCATTTCTTCACACCACTTTGTGTCCTTTCCAGTTTTCTCTGCATATTAAATATATACAGTGCTCTTGACTGCTGAGCCAGCTCCCCTGCTAGCATTTTTTTTTGGTCCTTTTGAGACAGGGTCTCCCTGTAGCCCCAGCTGACCTGGAACTCACTATGTAGACTCACAAAGATTCACCTGCCTCTGCCTCCTAAGTGCTAGGATTAAAGGTGTGAGCCACCATGCCTGACCCTGCTATAATTTTTTTAAAAAGCAATTATGTACACGTGATGTTGAAAGTTTACATTTTCTTTTCAGGAAAAGAAGAAAAAGAAACATAGAGACAGGAAGTCATCTGACTCTGACAGCTCTGATTCTGAGAGTGACATGGGCAAGAAAGCAAGGCACACATCAAAAGACAGCAAGGCTGCAAAGAAGAAGAAGAAGAAGAAGAAGCACAAGAAGAAGCATAAGGAGTGAGGGCGTGGCGGTGAGAAGATGAGCCAGGAGTGAGAATATGGTCTCCCACCCCATTGACTTTGTCCTCATGGGAGATGCTTCCTTACACAGCAGGCAGAACAGGGAGCTAGAGGTCAAAAGCAGCTCCCAAATGAGTCTTTTCCTTATTGTTCCCAGCCCCTTTTCAAAAGACCCCTGCAGCCACTGCATTCATTACCTAACTTCCTTCATTCAGCAGGTGGTCCAGGGCCCCTCCCCAGCTGCCACTGCCAGAGCTGGATTCCTTTTTGGGAGTCCAGACCAGAACTACAGGTCCTACTGTGGAGGTGAGCTTGGCTGTGGTGGGAGAAGAGTGAACATCCCTGCCTGTCTGCCTCTCTTGGACCACTTGGTGGTGGAGGGACCCTGGCAGCAGGAGGGAGAGTGGTAAGAAGTGGTGCTCACCTTTCCATTCCCTTAACAAGGGTCTACTCTGAAGTGACAGCCGGTGGCCACACCAGAAAACAGTGATCTACAGTGTGACTTATCTTGTATTCCAACAGGCTACTGAACCAGAAATCCGAAGATCATGCCTCTACTTTCTGTTTATCATTTTGTGTGTTGACTGGCTCCATTTCAAGTCTGCTTAAATTCCTGGCATAAATGAAATGTGTTTGGTTTTAAAGTTTCCGAAAGTTCTTATTGCTATAATCCTTCCTGGGTAACTTATAGGCTTAAACTCATTAGCTGACAGAAAAGCATTTAATGTTATCTGAGACCCTAGAGACAGGCTAAGCTGAGACTCGGATCTAGGGGCACAAATAAGGTCCTGGCTTTTTTGAGAGATCATTGAAAGCCCTCCTTTCTGTAGTGATGACCTCCTTCCCCTGAGTTGATATAGTGAACCAATAAGGATTTGTTCTTGTAGGTTTGGGTGTTTGTTTTGTTGTTTGGTAGTTTTTGTTTGTTTGGGCTTTTTGAGACAGGGTCTTTGTAGCCCCAGCTGGCTTAGAACTCCCTATGTAGAACTCCATCTCATAGAGATCTATCTACCTGCCACCACTGCCTCAGTGCTGGGATTAAAGGCTGGCACCACCACAGCCAGCTGGCCTAGAACTCCCAATATGGACCAAATTGGCCTCAATCTCAAAGATTGGGCTGCCTCTCCCTCTCCTGAGCTGGGAGAATTTGTAACCTTAGATACTTGCCTGGGCACAGGTAGAATAACAATCACCATCTCTCACTGCAATGGCACATGTGGACCTGTATTCCGGAAGGGGAGAGATAACAGCATGCTATAGAGCCCCACCCACAGAGTATTCTGTACAGAATAGGAGTTAAGTGCCCAGGCTTGACAAGCCCTACACTGACAGCATCAGCTCATCTTACCATCGATGGGCCAGTGTAAAAGTACCATGTAGGCACAGCTGTTGCTCACTGAATGTGTCACACAGTAAGCTGACTGGCAGCCTCCGAGCTTCTTAGCCAGTGCTGCTCCCCAGTGACCTGTAGGCAGTCAGCTCATGGACACGGGAAACTGAGACTCCAGAGTTGTGCCACCAAAGGTAAAAAGGCAACAGGGTGACCTTTGCTCTGCTTTATTGACCTCAGAGCACCCTTCGACACAGTTTTTAAAAAAAACAAACCACATACACAATGAGAACTGGAACTGGATCCAGGTTGATGCCACTTGACTTCAGAAAAATTCCCCAACCAAAGTGTATTTATACAAAACGCCAGAGAAGGAAAAAAAAAATGAGGCAACATGGTGCTGAGTTGAGGGGTAGCCAGCCGGCAGGAGCAGTCAGTGATGGTACAGCCAGGTCACGCCTCTTTTTCATAAATTCGAGTGCTCACCACATTGCCATGGGTGAGTGTCTAGAACGAAGGACAGAATCAGATGAGGTTGAGCAAGAAAGGGAACTCCGCCTTCTTCATCCTGATCAGCCCTTTATGTACTTCTTTTTTCTGATCAAGTCTTTAAGGTAGGAATTATAATTTATTTTTTGAGATTTGGAAAAAAATGAGCTTTGAAAGAGGAAGTAAATTGATTACAATCCCAGAGTGTTCCTCTTTCCTTCATGTTCAGCACCTAAGGTGGTACATGGGGCATAGCAGACCAAAAGGTAAATAAGTAAACATCCAGGGATGTTTGAGAAACATCTGCTAAGCTGCCATCTCTCTTCCCTAACCACCCCTATTCAGTCTGGCATCACAGAGCCAAGCCCATGGCCTTACCATAGTCTAATTGCACGACGAGTATTTGGTCCTTTATGTTACCTCCCTGCCAAAGCTAGGAATCTCACTCCCAACTCTGGGGACCTCAGCCCTGTGTGAGTATCAAGATGCAGTGAGCCAGGAAAGTCTGGTGCAGATACCAGGCTCAAAAACACAGGTAGCTGCTCTCCACATTCCTGAGGCATGGGGCAGTCCAACATTCTCCTCATCAGACTTGTCCCAAAACAGATATGTGGGCCTGGGTGTGTCATGTCCTGTCCAGACAATGGATATTTGCAGGAAGCCAAACAGAAAAACAGGTAAATAGGAGGAGGGGGACCTGTTGCATTCCTAGAGAGGAGAGGGAAGGGATGGTGGGATACAAGCGTACTCCTCAGGAGCCTAGGACCAGATTGGCCCTGCTTTCTACCTTGCTTTGGGAGAGACAAAGCAGAAACAGCAGGCTGAAAGGATGATGGAGTCCTGCTATATTCCCCCCCTTTGATGATGCTTTGCTATATGTTTCTTTCAGACTTCCTAGCCATCTGCAAGGTTGGTGTTTTATTAGTACTTATTTTACAGTGGACTAGGTGACCTGCCCAGAGTCATGCAACCTATAGGCTGACATTTGATCCCAGATCTTTGTGAATCGAGACCCATGACCCTGCCTCTGCCTGTCCTGTCCCAGTTTCTCTGGTTCCCAGGGGAGGACATTTAAAAGAAGCTGTTTAAAATGGGATTGGCTTAAGGGACAGGAGTAGCAAATGATTATATAAGGCTCCAAAGTTGCCATCTTACCAGGATGAGTTTGCCATCGCTCAGCTCCCGTGTAAGTGTTGTCTCCTGCCCATCCCACTTCTGCACATGAACAAGTTTTCCTCCATCCAGTGTCACAAGGGACTGTAGAAAAAGGGTAGAGGCCTGAGTTGTGACCTGAGCCAGGAACGAAGGGCAATGTCGAGGGCCAAGGGGATATACTATGACCCAAACTAGTCACAGCACTAGGATCAGTGCTCAGGCAGCCCACCTCCAACCTAGCCCCACAGGGTTTCTGCTCCATGACTGCTGGGAAGGGAGGGGTCTTCAGCTAGTGGGTGAGGCAGGCAGCTTAGCCCAGTGGTACCACAAGCCTGAAGAAGAGCTTAGGGTGGGATGTAGCTCAGTGGTAGAGAGCATGAGGCCATGGGTTCAGTTCCTTTGCACCAGAAACAGATGGGTACTTTCCAGTACTCTAGGTAAAGCCACAGTCTCAGAGCCCCTCAGGTACAGGGCTGCATGCCCATCCCTGCCTTTGAGACTAGCCAAAGAAGCATCCTGAAGGTCTTTCTAGCTGACAGGATATATTAGAAATTTAGACTTCCCTCCCTTCAGTCTCTGTCACATGACTCTTAGCTGACAAGAGGTAGCAGCTACAAGGTCCCTAGACTGGGTGTCCTTGGAGTGCTCTTCAGCTCTGGTTCCAGTGTCCACTTGGTGCTGCCAGCCTGCATCAGCTAGTTCATGTTTGGCAGCTCTCCAGGTCTCCTCTAGGAGTTTGGGGGCAGTATGCCAGACTAAGGACTAACTGAGCAGAGTTGGATCGCTCGTTTCTTGTGTTGTCCATATTCTATCTTTATCATCTGCATTCTCCACTGGTTTTGCAACTCAGATTATTTTGGGCTTAAACATCGCAGAGGACCAGTGTTGTGTTTAATATGGGATCTGGCCTCTCAAAAAGGTGGCAAGTCCAAGGGCTTGTGGTTCACCCAAACTGGGCTGTCATCTCGGGGCACCATCCCCTGTTCCACTTCAGCTTGTTGTGTGATCCTGTGCCGGGCTGCAGGTCCTCTTTGTCTCCGGGAAGACCAATCCCTACCGTTTTCTGGAAGTAACTGAGGTAGAAGAAACAGCTGAATTTCAGGGTCACAGTGGAGAGGACACTGGTATAGGGACACCTTATAGAAGTCATGGACCCTTAGTTCCTATGCCTGGCCTAGTGCTGGAGGTCAGGGACAAGCTACAAGAGGGCCACCATAAGGTAAAGCTCTGGCACTAGGTGCTCCCCATGCCTTGAGAGGACAAGTGCTTGGAGAGGAGACTACAAACACCTGACATTCATGTTGGTGAATGCCCACCCTGGAGCATAGCTCTGGCCTGTCAGTTGGTGACACTGCAAAGAGTTTGTCAGGGTCAGTGGCCTAGCCTACAAAAGAGGAGGCATCCAAATAGGACTGTGCCTCTGGTTCCCAGCTGCCTCCGTTGCTACTGGAGCCTGGATGACCTCACTCAGTGCAGGGCACTGACTCTAGGCACTGTTCCTAAAGCATTTCAGGTCACAGCTAGGACCACTGAAGTCCTCAGAGCTACTGCATACCTTGCACAAGGTCACCCAGCTGGGGCTGGCAGACCCAAGGTCAGAACATCCTGGCTGTGCTGCCCACTCTCAGAAGCAGCTGGTAGGTCCTTCCCAAGAAGGGCAGGAAGAACAGAGCAGCTGTGTACTGACCCCTGGAACACTGGAGCACTGAGCAGGTTTTGTGAACCTTGTTTTGTTTAAATCTTCTGATAGCCTGCCCCTCAGGGTATACCACCAAGGCACTAAGACTAGCATCCTTTCAAGGTCTCACCATCCTCCACACCCCCTTCTCTGACTCACCTTGACCTTCCTGTCATCTGCTGTCGTCTCATCAAACTCCACCCCCAGATGAAAGCTGATCTCTGTGTTCTTGAAGGTGCTGTGTGTTTTTATGACGATAGTATCCCCGTTCTTCTCGATGATTGTGGTAGGCTTGGTCATGCTAGCCACCTGCCTGGTGGCAAAGCCCACACCTGAGGGCAGCGGGAGGTGGTTAAGATATGAGCTAGAGCAGAGAGGCACTGTACATGCTCGAAGACTAAGTCTTAGGCTAGGCATGGGGGAGGAGGGTCGGCCATCAAAGCCTTTGTGTGGCCATTTTTTCAGTCTTCCCCTTAGCTCTGTAGCCATTAGACAAAATACGGTATTAAGTGGTAAGAATCATACATATGTTCCATCACTCAGTCCTTGCTTCCTGTTGGAAGGTTTTGTAGCTGTAAGCACTGACATGGAGTTCAAGCCCAAGGTCACACATCAGATTGAAACCCTGAATGTTTGGCGCCAGAGTTTAACTGCTGAGCCCTTGTACCATCTTCTGAGCATAGCATCTGCTGTTTTCTGACCACCTGAACAGCTCAGGCCATGACCTGAAGAAAGGAAAGATGACAGCCTTCTAGAGCCCCTGGATCAAGGGTTATCTACCTTTGGAAGTCTTCACCCTGAGACACATCAGTGCCTTTGTCCCCCATATATGGCAACATGACCAGAAAGCCTCTTGGTTAGCCAAGTACAGGGAATTTTGTGCCTTCTGTAGATTCAGGAGTTGAGACTCTAAACTTAAGTCTCCTGACTCCCAGTCTAAGGCTTTGGGGGTACTATCCTGATCCAGGCATGGTTTCTCTTAGTGCTAGGTAAGGTCCCAAGTGGCCTCCAAGCAAGAGAACTGACCTCTTAGACCAGCCTTTACTCTAGGTTGTGACACTTCACAGCTTCCCGGAGATCTGTCCTTTTGTTTCCAACCTCCCATTGTGACTGCCTTGTCCTCTGCCCCCAGCAGCATGCTGATCTGTCCTCGAAGTGGAGGTGAGGTAGGAGGCAGGGCAGTGTAGGGAGATGGTGTCAGATCTTCAAATATACACCTGGCCACATGGTGTTTGCTCTGTGCCTATGGTCATTTGTACTAAGCTGGGATGCTCTGTCCCCTGGGAACCATTGGTCCTATAGTAAAAGAGGGGCAGGGGCTTTGGCTATAGCCATGCTGGTGCCAGTCTACCCTGCCTAGCCAGTGAGGGCCTTCACTCTCCCTGCCGGTATCAGAGCGAGTCGGGCCTCATCACTGAACCAGCTGTTTTTGCCTAGGATCCATGCAAAGGTGTGACATGCTAAAAGAAGGAAAGCAAGCATTCTAGTTAATAAAGCCAGCTGTTGGCTTAGACTTGGGCAAATCTTTGCTTTCCAAAGGGCTTCCGGTCTTTCTATATGTTCAATGAAAAAAAGTGTGTTGAATGGAATCTCAGGCCCCTAATGGAAGAAGCTGCCCTGGGCTGGGGGTGCAGCTCAGTGGTACAGCACATGCTCAGCATGCTGAAAGACCCTGGGTTCAATCAGCACCATAAACACAACTGCCCAGAGATAATAGGTGTTAGGTGGTAGCCACACTGGAACAGAATACAGCTGGTGAGGTGGTTGCAGCCCAGTTCTGGGACTCAGTTTTTTGGCTCTCAGAGGAAGAACTAAACCTGGGCCATCTAGTTCTCTATACCTTCTCTGAAGAAGGTCTTCCTTCCTGGAGTCTGGGCATGGTGCTCAGGGTATGGTAGATCAGATGGGCACTTCGGCCTCAGGAGCAACATGTGGAGGTACTTACTTAGCATGGGCAAGGCCTTGATTATGATCCACAACACCAGAACAACAAAGTTTTATAGACCTCTGTTCCAGAAATAGATGAGGGGGACATCCCCCACACACCCCTCTGCATGCCTGCTGTTTCGGGCCCTCCTTCCTTAGGAGGAAGGCATAGAATCCAGCTCAGCCACGAACTCCATCCCAGTTTTCCCTGTCACAAGCTGGGGATTTCGGAGAAGGGGTATTTTCATCAAGCCCAAGGAAAGAAGGGAAGGACTGAGGCCATACTTTGGGTGAGCAGTTCAGTGACATGGGAACTCTGAGTAGAAATCCTGGGTTTTCAGCTACTTGGAAGGCTGAGGCAAGATTACAAATTCAAGGCCAGCCCGGACGATTAGTGAGACCTGTGACACAGAGTAAAAAGAGAGCTGGGGATGTAGCTCAGTGGTGGAGTGATTGCCTGGCATACACAAGGTTCACTCCGAGAAGAAAATCCTGGGTTTTCCTGGCTAAGCAAGGCATGAGAGTCTATCTCCACAGACCTTACCAGTAAGGTTCTTTGAAGCTTTTTCCTTCCTTCCCCAAACCACAGAGCTCTCCAAACCCTGCCAGACCAGTGACCCTTTCACAGGCCTTGACCTCACTCTGGCACCCTCTGCTGCACCCAAGCCCAAAGGCTTCCTTCATCCTATCTCAGGCGTTGAACAGGTGGCAGGACGCGCTGTAGAAAAGCCCCAGGTGCAACTGACCTCTTACCCCACCCTACCACTCGTGTCTCGGGCATTGATTAGGGCCTGCTTACATACACTACAGTCGAAGGTCAGGCTGGTAAGAAAAGAGGGCACCTTCCCTACCCCAACATGGAGAAGGGATTGCTGCTGACTGCCCAGGTCTGTCTGCACCGAGCTCCCTAGTCATCCTCGAGGATCCAAGGTGTTCCCTCCAACAGAACACTCCCTGTCTGCCCCATACCCTCTCCGTATTCGACTTCTAGACCACCCATGCTCCTTTTAGTTTTCTCTTCCTGCTAGCCTCCAGCCTTCTGAGCTCAAGCTCTCCTCCTCAGACCTCCACCCACCTCCAGATCACAGACCTTGCTTCCTAGAAAGCGCCTCCCTGCCCCGACATCGGCAGCCACAGATGCCTCTTCCCTGCGCCTCCTGCCTGGGTATCACACTCCCCACGTTTGGACCACGATAGCCCCCTCCCAGCAGGCCCCGACGCTCCAGCCCAGGCTGCCACCTCTGCGCCTCCTTATTCCCAACCTTGCCGGAGAGGGAGGATGCAGCAGGCGCGCAGGATACCCCAGCCGGAGCTTAGAGCCAGGCTAGGCTTGCAGCACCTCCCCGCCCGGCATCTTACACCCCGCGGTTCGCTCACCGAGTGATTTCATGTAGTCATCGAAATTCTTGCTGTCCACCAGCTTCCAGGTCCCGACGAAGGCGTCCACCATGGTGAGTCTGGACTGGACTAAGGAGCGGCCAGAGGAAAGGCGTGCGGAGACTCGGAACTGCGGCTCCGGGCCTGAGTGCCGCTTTAAATAGCCCTCGCATCACGTGATGAGCCATGGCCCATACACCCCAGCTCCCGAAATAGGCGGCACAGCGGCTGGAGCCCATCCCCCAGCCCGCCCCGGGGAAGGGGCCCGCCCGCGGCTCCGCAGGGGCTGCGTCCGCGCCACGCGGCCTGGGTCCTCCGCTGCTGCGAGCTCTCCGTAGCCCCAGAGCTGCGGCGCACGCCACCCAAGTCCACCGACCGCCCTCCCGGAGATGAGACCAGAGAGAGGAAACGCGCTCTGGAGCAGGGGCCGCGCTGGGAAAACGCTGGCTAACCCCAGCGTCTGTCACAGGCACCTTGGTCCTCGTTTTTAAGAAGTGGGCTTTGTTTGGCCTTTTACACTGGTCGTGTGCGTGCATGTGTAGGCAAGGTGCACAACTTGTGGGAGTCGGGTCTCCTTTTTCCCAACATGGGTGTCGGGGATCGAATTCAGGTCATCAAGATTGGCGGCAAGCGCCCTTTCCCACTGAGCCATCTCGCTGGTCCTAGGTCCTCATTTTATAAGGGAGGCGCTGAGGCAGAGAGGAATGGCATGGTGAGGATAGGTGGAAAGTGAGTTGACGTCCAGACAGCAAAGCTGATCTAGAGGCCTCTGAGCCCCACTTTCGTGTTCCTCCCACCGCCGAGTGGCAGGGGAGTCGTCATGGACACGGTGTGTGGCTGAGCTGCCCCTGTGGCCTCACCTGCTCTGGGCGAACGTGACCTTTCTTCTTTGGTACTAGGCCACACGTGCTTGCCCCTCCCTGCGGAATGTCTGCAGCTTGCCTTGGCCCCGGCCGTTCAACTTCCTTCACCCAGTCAGGGCTCCAGGCTTTCTGACCTCTGAGCTTGCGCTCTGGTCGGTCTATGCTCACCTCCGGCAGAAATTCTGTCAATTCAGGCAGTTCTCCGGGCAATGGTTCCTTCGGTGGAAAGAAGCAACCCCCTGCTGCAGCCCTTCCTCTGACCTCTGCTGTCAGCAACTTGTAACCTCCTTAAAACACTTTTAATAATAAAACCCACCTTATACTGAGGTTTGTAGCAGGTTGAGGGCTTAAGTACATTGTCAGAATAAACCTTTTAAGTTGTTCACCTTTTTACAGCTGAACAAAGGAAGCTCAGTGGGGCCCATTGTCATTAGTTCAACAGGTTTCTTTTTAATTTTGATGATTATTGTTAAGAAAATATCTCAATGCTGGGCATGGTGGAGCATGCCTTGTAGTCCAGCGCTTAGGAGGCAGAGGCAGATCTCTGTGAGTTCAAGGCCAGCATGGTTCTGTTAGGGAATCCAGGCCAGCTGTGGCTACAGGAGACCCTGCCTCAAAAAGACAGAAAAAAAAAATCTCAAGCCGGGCATGGTGGCATGTATGCCTTTAGTCCCAGCACTCAGAAGGCAGAGGCAGGTGGATCTCTGAGAGTTCAAGTCCAGCCTGGTTTCCATAGTGAATCCAGGCCAGCTGTGCCTACAGGGAGACCCTGTCTCAAAAAAAAAAAAAAGAAAAGAAAAGAAAGTATCTCAATATATAGCCCAGGTTGACCTTGGACTGGAGCTCCTCCTGCCCTTATCTTCTGATGTTACAGCTGTATGCCACCACCCTGGCTGTGAGGACAAGGAGGAACAAGGTGCATGTTCTAGTAGTTTACCTCCAGGAGCATCTCATAACCAGTAGCTCTGGGAGGCCTGTACTGACTTGGGGACTCAGAGGAAGAGGGGCATAAAATGAATTCCAGGAGGGAGTGGTGTGCACTTGTCCACAGTAGATGTGCTGGAGTCTGCATGGGAGCCCTGGGACCTGACCAGCTCTGCCACACACCTGTAGTGTGGCAAACCTACCTTCCGGGGCCTCTGTTTGTCCCTGTGGAAGTCACTTCCTCCCTTCATGTGGCTGTTCTGGGAAGGAGGCCAGTGAGGAAGAGTCTTGTCATCCTCACCTACCCCAGGTCTTGATTCTTTTGGAGAGTCCAGTTGCCAGAAGACTGTGAGGCCCAATTCTGCCAAGTTTACAGGCCTCAGGACTTGGCCCGGAGCCCTGATGACCTCAGTGCCAGGGGAGGGTGGGCACAGGGTGGTTTCTGATTCAAGGTCACAGGCTTTAGACATAGGGCCTCTTCTCTCAAGGTCTGATATCCAGAGACTCGGGGACCAGGGCTGTTGCCTGTGTGGTCCTCATAATGCAGTGCTGGAGAGCTGGGGTTGGGCTGACAGCTGTTGGCAGAAAGATCTGTGTTCCAGCCCTTATTTCAGTGGGGACTAGCTGTGGCTTGAACAATTCACTTAAGACACTGAGTCTGTTTCATCTCAGATTTGGGACATATTTGGAGATGATGGGAATGAATATATTTAAAATTCTGATCATTATTGCTCACTACAGGGATAGGGAAATGGTTCCTGATAAGGTGCTTACTATGAAAGCATGAAGACCTGAGTTCAGATCCTTAGCACGTATAAAAGCAGGGCATGGATATAACCCCTGAACTGGAGGGGTATGAAGACAGGTGGATTCTGGGGACATGCTGGCCTGGCTAGCCAAAATGGTGAGCTCCAGGTTCAGGTCAGAGACCATTTCAAAAAATAAGATGGAAAGCAATAAAGGAAGACACTAGAAGTTCACCTCTAGCCCCTACACCACACACACACACACACACACACACACACACACACACACACACACACACACACGAAATAAAAGGGAAAAACATGGTTTGCTTTGCTTTTGAGACAGAGTACATAGCTAGCCTAGGCTGGCCTCACACTCAAGATCCTCCTGCCTCAGCCTCCTAAGGCATGGGATTACAAGGATGACACCACACTAAACTACTGCCTTTGTTTTTGTTCTTATCTCCATGGATGAGACAGGGCACCTCAAACAGAGCTTGCCTAGTGTTCTAGTAAGGAGCAGGCCTGGGATGGACCAACAGGCCTCTTTCCAAACTGAGCACACCCCAGTGCACCAAGGGTTCTCCACTGGAGGGCAGTGGAGAAGAGGCTGAGGTCCAGTGATTTCACATCAGGCAGAGACAAACAGCCCCAACTACTACCCCAGCCAAAGAGAAAAGCTTCCTGTTGTTATGGATTAGGGATGGATGGGAGGGTCTCTATGTCCCTGGGTTGATGGAGTCCCAGCTCAGCTTCTTTGGCCTCTACCTCTAGGCTGTCTCCCTTGCTAGTAGCACATTTCCTGGTAGAGGCATCCAGACGGCAGGGAGGGCCCAGGAAACAGCTGAAGATGAGGAGCGCCCCCCCCCCGACCCAGTGGGCCCATGGATCAGCCGGGTACCTCCAGACCATCTCATTGGTTTCTTCCTGGTTATTCATCTTTCTTCTCCATCTTCCTAGCTTGTAGTTGCAGTGGAAGCATAGACTAGTGACATCACCATAAGGGGAGGCCTGGGGAAAGGCTGCTCTTGACAGGCATGTTTGCCTGCCAGATGATATAGCTACATCTGAATCTACTCAAGGCAAGAAGAATGGGAGAAGAGACGTGGCTCACCTCAACCCTCAATGTAGTGAGCATGACAAGACAAAGAAGGTGCAGCCCTGTGAGGGTGAGGCGAGAACCAGGCATGCTTAGAAGAGAGGAGGAGCTGGACCTGGGAGGCTGAGGCAGGAAGACTGAATAGTCAAGACCTGTGTGGGCTACAGTGAGTTCAGGGGCAGCCTGGGCAACTTAGTGAGACCCTGTCTCAAAAAGAAACAAATAAAGAGGGTGGGTGGTATAGCCCTGGTAGAGAGCACTTGCCCAGCATGCATGAGATCCTATATTCAGTGCTCAGTATTGGGGGAGGTGGGGAGAGGATGAAAACTAGGTGGCGATCTGGTGAGATGACTCAGTGGAGCCCTGGAACTCACAGTGGAAGGAGAGAACCAACTCCTGAAAGTTGTTCTCTGATCACACATACACTATGTCACACACATGCCTGCACTGACTCACGTATCAGGCACACATGAGCACACACGCACACACACACACACACACAGTTAAAAATAAGGAAAGAACCAGGTGGAAGGAGAGGGGGTGTGGCTTAGGATCAGCCTTGGTAACCCAGGTCAGAGCTTAGCAGTTACCTCATGGATAGTCAGTCTAGACTTTGTCTCTGAGCTCAAGACCCCATGCTGCTCAGCTTGGCCAGGGCTCAGGAGAAGTACAAGGATTTTCTGTTACTGTGTCTGTCCCTAAAACCTCCACTGTCCTTCATGACCAAAGCAGTTTCTAGTGGTGTCTCAGAAATTTTAAAACGAGCATCAGCAAATGGAAGAACTCTGCCTCAGGGGACCAGGCTGGTGAGGGGCAGAGCCTGCTGACCATCACATCACTTTCCCCCTCAATAAAGGAAGGCCTTTGGCATCTCGGGGGCAACAGGGCAGGGGAATGCAGGTGTAGAGGTAGAAGGGAGTGTTCCTTCTGTCACTAGGAAATGGACTTCCTTGTTCCTCAAGAGTTCTAGAGTTCTGGGTCCGAGGGGACAAATGACGGCAGCAGGTACAGGTGTACTCAACACCAGTTTGCTTCTGAGAAATGACTGCCTGTGGCAGATGCTCCCAGGAAAGAGACCAGTGCCCTTCCTGGTTCAGGAAAGCTGGGGGGTGGGGTAGGGGGTGCACACTGTGTGTTCCAGAAACCTGCCCTTTGGGGGGCTCACGGGGTGAAGCCCAAACTCTTTGGCCTGTTCTTATCTAATTTCTCTCATTGATAAAACCCTGTCCTAAGAAGAGTGTCTGGAAGATAGAGGGGTTCATATATTGCATGAATGAATGAATGTGAGTGAATTTTGCTACTGTCAACATAAAATACAGCTCTCACTCAGAAACGAATGCAATAACTTATTCTGAGCCAAATGCATGACCATGGTCCTGGGAACACAGATTCAAGTGGCCCCAAATGACATATTCCAGTATGGAAACAGTTATGTAACTTTCATTTTTAATATTTAAATATTTGTGTGTGTGTTTGTATGTGTGTGTGTGTATGTGTGTGCACACTGCACACAGGTACACCATGGCATGCGTGTGGA